GTCTGTCTGTCTGTCTGTCTGTCTGTCTGTCCGTCTGTCTGTCTGTCTGTCTGTCTGCCAGCCTGTTTATATATCTGTCTGTCTGTCTGGCTGGCTGGCTGTCTGGTTGGCTGGCTCTTTACTCTTCTTTGTTCCGGGATGTTTTTCCATCCATCAAAGTGTATGCCCGTGTACACCCCTCCCCTTTCGCTTGAATCCTTGAAGACAAACGTATGTTAGCACCTTTTATTTCTTTGTATTTTTTCCAATGCTTTTTAGCTTCTTTCTTTCTACATATCTAAAGTAAGTACACGTAAGTTATGCTGTCGTATTAATTAAAAACGGAAATATCGAGTTTCCTATGATCAGTGAAGATTCTGAGGTTTAAAAGAATTCCAGCTGAGAACTACGCGACTACAGAGTTCCCTCTTCATTTTGTGCGGTTTACCACAAGTTTTCTGTATCACATAAAACACTATTAAAATATGAGCGCTCGCAAAAGTCAACTGCTGTTTCACTGATGTACCTTGGTTTATTTGATCGCTAGTTCACTTTTTAACCTTCGTTTTAGACTACAACGACGACGACGACGAAAACAACAACAACAACAACAATAAAAACAACAAACAAAAATAAAGACTCTGATCCCCTGGTCCTGCAAACATCCCTGTTGACTCTATTAAAGGAATATGCTTTCAGAGAGAAAATCAAGCTTGAGCGGAAAATCACGTATGTCTTATTATACAGTCAACTCCGCTTTAAAAAAATAAACTCACTTGAGTAATGAGTTGATCTTCTGTTGAGATGAACTTTTTCTCGGGTACCAGCACCTCTTCTTATTTACAGTTCCCAATGATTAAGTTGAACTTCAGATGGGTTGACCTAATATTCACTCCCCGATGACATCAACTCATCCGTTGTCGACTGTACCTCTAAACTACTGTAAGAGCAATCGTGTTCTTGGGTTGTCGGCGACCAATGCGATTCAACAGTGTAGGGTTATCAACGAGTTGGGACTTTCGAACGTAAAGTCCATCATTTATAGGAATGAGACGAAAAGGGCAGACAACCTAAGAAACCCCCAAAACACTAACGATTCGAACCAAGGTTATCTGTACCAAAGTATAGCTCGATATCAACTGAGCTTAGGTTGTAAGAAGACCTAGCTAATTCTCCCATAGAAATATCGTCTTGACACATAGCCAGAAATTCCAGGATGTCTACAGTCATTAGGTACCCGACAGCCTCACTGTTCTAGGCCGGAATTCCTGGATTTCGCGCCGAATAATTCGATATGTTGGAACACACAGAAACGAGGCGGTGATCACTGGGAATGTCTCTAACTATACACATACTGGGACCTTCTTACTTATCCTGACTGCTTAGGTAAAACACCGGTTTTCCATACGTCTTCAAGCTTAAATACTGGTACGGTAACAACAGCTGCACAGTTGAAATAAAACTTGTGCGGGGACGGTGGCACAAAGTGCAATGGAGGAGCATAGCTCGTACAGTTGGAATCATGCTGGACTGCGGAGTGAAAGCCCCCTAGTTCGAATCCCTAACTCGGCGATTTGAACATAAGTTGTTTTAGGGAGCCTCTCCGCCCATTTCACTCAGACATAAGGGAGATAGACATTTTACTCGGAGGTCCCCCCTCTTAAATAACCATAAATGACCGAAATAGGCGTTAAACCTATGCAATGACTGTGCTCTCTCATATGCACTGTTTCCAGAAAACAAGCACCTCTGTATGTCAAATACCTTAAGGCCAATCACGTCACAGTGTTTTTGATCTCTTATATTGTTAGGACATCAGAAGTACGGGCATTTCGCTTTTGAAAACGAAGACGCTAAGAGGTAGATTCTGCCTCCAAGTTTGATAGAACGGACTACAGCCAAGAGAAATATTATTATTTCTACTTACAAGAGAGCTGTTGAAGAAATTACACGGCGACATGTGTCTGGTCACATCGTAGCGTGAAGCTCAGGTTTACAACAGCATGGAACAGGCATCAAACGAGACAAGGTAATATCACACAACTGCCGTTGTTGTCAAATAATAACCGTATAATTGTGCGTCCCCCTATCATATTTCTGGATAAACAGCCTTCCAACTGTGGTCTTAAAGTGCACGACAGCATTCAAAATACCCAATGCTTTGTGTGCATGTAAAGTTGCTAAGCTCAATAAAACAGGAGCCTATTCTACACGATGTTGTGAAAAGGCGTCAAAAGAAAAATGATAACATCACACACTTGATGTTACTACCGAATAATGATCAAATAATGGTTGTATCCAGTATCAAATTTTTTGATACGCAAAGGAATGCCCTCTATAACGACACACACAATTTCGAAAAGCCAGTGTCTTTATGTGCATGAAAAGGTGCAGTCCTCATCAAACAGTATCACCCCCGCATGATGCTGGGGCATTTTGGCAGCAAATAAAGAACCATGACATCCTTATGGTGTGTTTAGGTGCCTATAAAGAACTGCAGTCTCTCAATAACTTGTAGCTTTTAGGGAAATACCCGGATCTCGGTGTTAAATCGGTCTCTCCCTTGTCTCTGCGGGAGCCTATTTGGTCGTCTCAACACAGAAATGTGGACAGAGCAGAAAGCGCAGAGGCAAAAAACAAATGTTTGTCCATTTGTTACTATTTCTGCCCGAGTGCGGCGAGTTGGGAATTGTGAGATTAAAGCAAAAAGAGAAAAAACAGTCGTATTTTAAGTCTTTATAAAGCGCTGAGAAACGAAAAAAAAAAAGAGAGTTATCTTTTTCTAAATTGTTTTGGGATGCGAACTGTCTACAACTTTTGCACTGCTCTTTATCACTATTCTAAAAATATAACGATGGTATTTATAGTAGCCATCTGAAAAAAAATTGCCCCCTGTCTTTTCCCAGATTCTGTAGACGCTGCTACCGGTTGTAGCTGATGATTGCAGAGATTTAGTGTCGCATCCTGACCACGGCGTGACATTTTCAGAGGGTCCCGGCCAAAAAGTGATAACTGCGCTTTCCCGTGTCCCCACAGTGAAACAATTGGGATTTCACGACTCGTAAGTGGATGTGGGTCCTGTAGCCAGCTATGACCTTTTGTGAGTTTGGCCTTTGTATCACGCGGATTTATGCACTCGTGATGGGGGCATAAAAATTAAAAGGTCCGGGAGTGTATATTTTGGGGTACAGAGAGAGATAGATAGATAGATAGATAGATAGATAGATAGATAGATAGATAGATAGATAGA